AATGGATGGTTATCAATGTTTATTATTAAGTTAAGTCATTTAAGTTGAAGTACATATGTATGTACTTACACGTAGGTATGTTTGTTAGCACTCAAAAGATAATAAAATCTAAACAACAATTTATTAAAATACATGTCCAATCATTCAATAATCATGGGCATGTACGATTGTGGTTGTTCTGATATTAGAATGGATTATGTAGTAGGAAGATATAGATGTGTATTAATGTAATGATTTGTGTTCGGAATATTAACGATGGCCCAAAAACAGCTTTATTAATATTCTCAAATAATGTTGTGTGATTTAATTTCGTTTTCATTTTGAGAGAGAGAGAGGGAGAGAGAGAGTGTGTTTATGAAACAGAGAACACATTGATTGTTTGCAATGACATTTGTAGTTGACAGAGTTGGGAGTGTGTTGTCACTCTGATTTCTATTAGAAAATTCAACTCTGAAAAATATTTGTAAAAAATGCAAGCTTGTGTTGGCCCTATAAAAATATTATTTGAAAATCTTCTTTAGTAATAAATAAAGTATGTATATGAAAACTCCCTTTTATAAAAAATATCGAAATCTAAACCGATTTCATCGAAACTTGTCACACGTTAGGTTACTTGCACAAAACATACTGAATGTTTTGTGCATTCGGCCACATTTTTAATTCTTCATTTAGTTATACATCCAAATTTCGTGCAAATCGAAGGATATATAGTGACTTTGGTGCACCATTTACATAAAATCGGACAAAAATATATATGGGAACTATATCTAAAATTGAACCGATTTTCACGAAATTTAACACACCTCTTTCTAAACTTAATTCAGTTCTCTATGCCAAATTTCGTGAAAATCAAAGAATAAATAGGGACTTTGATGCACTCTTTACATAAAATTGGACGAAAATATATATGGGAGCTATATCTAAGTCTGAACCGATTTTCACGAAATTTAACACACATCGCTCTAGACTTAATTCAGTGCGCTATGCCAAATTTCGTGCAAATCGAAGGGTATATAGGGTATTTGGTTCATCATTTACATAATATCGGAAGAAAATATTTATGGGAGCTATATCGAAATCTGAATCGATTTTCACGAAACTCAGCACACATCTTTGTAGACTTAATTCTGTGCGCTATCCCAAATTTCGTGCAAATCGCAAAATATATTGGGACTTTGGTGCACCAATTACAAAAAATCGGACGAAAAATATATGGGAGCTATATCTAAATCTGATCCGATTTTTAAGTAATTTAACACACATCTTTCTAGACTTAATTCAGTACGCTGTGCCAAATTTCGTGTAAATCGAATGATATATAGGGACTTTGGTGCACCATTTACCTAAAATCGGACGAAAATATAAAATCTGAACCGATTTTTCCCAATTTCAATAGGGTTCGTCCCTGGGCCAAATAAGTGACATGTGCCAAATTTCATCCAATTCGGATCATAAATGCGACCTGTACTTTGTTTACAATTTAACATGGACAGACAGACGACTTAAAAAGTGATTCTATGCATATTCTCAAAAGGAACCATATGTCTATCTCGTTTCCTTTTGCCTGTTACAAACATATATAGATCATATAGATCAAAAGTTCCACTTTCTAACCCTGGCAATTTTTCCATATTTTTTCCCAAGGTAAATATTTACGCCATAAAATAAAAATTTTGACATTTTAGTTTTTGGTTGATTTTCCGTCGGATCATCTAAATAGTCGTTCTAAGGATTTTGTCATATCCTCTTCACCGCGTAAAGTAAGTAATGTTGTGCATATAATAATCGCCTCTAGATTGACTAGAAAATCTCACAAAAAGTAAAGTGCTCGGTTCATTTCAACCCTTAAATACTATCTTAACATCGCCGAAAATTATAGACTTCGTCCTTGACCATAACCTAGACTTCATGTTAAATTTCAAAGCGATCAGCGCTATGTTTCCGCACTCTAGTGGGGTAATATTAATACCAAACAATATTATAACACATATACACCTTTAAATATTTACGTATAACTCCCGCATCCGAGTATATAGAACAATATGATGAGTATCAATTTAAAGGTCAACTACTCCTCTTGGATATACTATGAATTTCTCTGATATATGTCCTTCATGATTAAATATATACCCTATATAATACTAATTGTCATTTTTTAAACAAAAGTCAGGTTTTATTTCACCCGTTAAATATTGACCGATCTTTATCAAAACAGGCATGCTTATTCTTTAGCCAAATCCCCTTCTCCATGTAAAAATTCGCGAAATTTGGGCCATAATTGCAGCCTTTGGAGCGACCAGAAAATCAGACAAAAATAAAGTTTTTGGTCCATTTCATCGCCTAAATATGAACCGATCTTTACCAAAAAACCATAGAGGTCTTCATTGAACAGAATCCATCCTACATGCAAAATTTCGTGAAGATTGGTCCATAACTGTGACCTGTATCGTGTTTACAAATTATAATGGACAGACGGACGAACACACATGTCTAGATCGACTCAGCTAGTCGAGATATGACGATCGGTATACTTAAAGGTGGGGCTGCACAAAGCTATAATACCCTGACAACATAGTTGTGTAGGGTATAAAAATACAGGATTGAAAAAAAATATGCCTGTAGTTGTCGTTGAAAGTATTTTTTAATCGACGCCTGTGGCTGAAACATTAATTTTTTTAAAGCCACGCCTACAGCAATCCTTGACTTTTTTAATTCCACGACTATTAATGACTGCCTATGGCAGTCATTAATAATTTTTTTAAACAATTTACACCAGTCCACAATTTACAATTTACACACTCACTTCTTTATTATTTCTAAACAAATATTTTTTTAATTTCATAGTTTTACTTCCCATCTCTGTGGTATTGAATGAGCAATATTTTATTTGCAATACTCTCTTTGGTGCCACTCTCTCTTTCTCTCTTGTGAGCAATAATGAATTCTCCCTTTGTTGTTAATTGGCTGAATTAACAATGCGGGCAAAAATGGGGATTATCCATTATCGTGGTGTAATTTATCTTGCTAATAATATAGCTTAAGGTCGGTCCTCCAGAATTATGGTTTAAATTTAAAAACCTTAAATAAAAAATTAGAGGAAAATCGTGCACAATCGATTTTTCATAGAGAGATTTCCTCCCCAAATGAATTACAGCGATAAGTTCGAAATTACTGCCAATTTGGGTAAAAAACGTATCCATACTCCCCAAAATACCGAAATTTGGGAGGTACCGTTGTATAGCGGACAAATATTAAAAATTACGTACCTAGATGATAGACTATAATTTGCACCAAATGGGGCTATATGTGCCTGTGTCTATTATGAATAAAAAATATGGACTCTAGAACTCTACAAATACATGGGACCCTCAAAATTTCCTCACTCATTAGCCAAGACAATATGGGTTTTAGGTATATTAATGGAAATTTATTTTCGTAAGCCCATTTTATACTAATCGGTTTAACCCTGATCCCGAACTTCTGTGACCAATAATTGGATATGTGCCATAATTAGGGTAAATATATCTACCTCTCTTGCCAACTATAGAGAAATTAGCCTTCTTCCCATCGCATATAAAGTGCTATCCAGTGTGCTGTGTGAACGATTGGACCATACCAATGTGGCTTTAGGCCTGGCAAATCCGCCATTCTCTGTGCCACATCCTGGAAAAGACCTAAGAAAAGTGGGTCTGGCAGTAAATGGCAAGAAGACCAAGGTGATGGTATTAACGCACAAGACGTCCAGTAGACTCGAACCAACTGTGGAACTTGAGAACTACAGCTTCGAGTTAGTTAAAGATTTTATATACCTTTGTACCGCCATAAATAAAACTAATGACATCAGTCTTCAAATTCGGAGAAGGATTGTGATGGCCAACAGATGCTACTATGGTCTAAGTAAGCAGTTTAGAAACAAGGCCACCTTCCGCCAGACCAAACTCACACTTTACAAGACGCTGATACTACCCGTGCTGTTATATGGATCTGAAGCATGGGTACTTGCGCAAGCAAATGAGGCAGCTCTTGGAGTATTTGAGAGAAAAATTCTCCGAAAGATCTATGCGTCGATGTTGAATATCGGCGTCGAGTAAACCACGAGCTTTAACAGGCGCGTCGGACTTTTACGCAGTTTTTCCAGTTTGAAAGATCATATTTGGCAATGTTGTCTTCCACTTGATCTTTCCATTTTATTCGAAGGCTTCCCCTTCCGCGTGAACCATCAGCTGGTTCGCTTTTAAATGCTTGTGGGGTTGAGCATCTTCATCCATTCTTACAACATGACCAAAGTTCGGACCATCCGAACTTAATCTCGTTTTTATTGTGTTCTTAAATTTGATTACTTTTATTTCATGTTTAAGTTTAACCCCACTATAATCCATTCTGCCTTGCGGTTGGTAACCCTAGAATTTAATTCATAAGAATGCCATGCCATGCATGTGAAATCCGAATATAAAATGCACAGGAGGAGCAATTGTATTTTCAGAGTACTTTTCACATTCGTTGTGAAGAGAAGCAGCCGGGAACTTTTTCATTCCGCACAAACCAGAACAAAGCGTGTATTATTTTTTCGAAAAAAGTACGTCGTTGACCGACCGCCACCCTGAAAGCCAGTTGATATTGACTGCTGTTGAATGTAAAAAAACCGAAATATTAACATTGTTGTTGTTGTTGGTTGTGTTGTTATCGTTATTTTGGGGTTTCGCCTTTGTTTGGGTTCTGTTTAAATTAAAGCCAGTCAGTCGGACGGTCAGCCAGCAAGTGAACGAAAAAAAAAATTTAAATTATCAACAAAAAAATAAAACACATAAATCGCCAATATAAATATTGAAACATTTTCCACAAGAAATTGCAGTAGTTTCGGAACAGACGATGTGTGAAATCTACGAGTAATAAAAGCATATAATTTGAATGTGTGTGTGTGTTATTTTTTTAATTTCAGAGTGTTTTTTTTTTAAACTACTAAAATACATATCAAAAAATACCTAAAAAATTAAATTAAAAAAATAGTTCTACCTCATCAGCTCAGGATAAAGGTTAGTATTGAAATCTCTGTTTAAATGAAAAAAATTAAATTCCATAAAGAAATCTTTTATGTTGCCTACCTTCAAAACTTCAAAAGGAGGTCCTGAATCCGGTTTTCGGGTTAATGACCTTATTCTCAATATTCCACAACGTGCGAATGTTTTTATTCCTCCTGCTTTCCCCGCCAAAAAAATAGCTGTTTATGTGTTCCCTACTAATATCTACAAAACAAGTCAGTAGCATATTTTAACATTTCTCAATGTCATTTATCTGTCTGTCCGTCCGTCCGTCTGTCTGCGGCTGTTCGACCGACCCATATTGTATTGTTGATATGCCATTTAAGTGTTTCGAGAGTTAAGTTAAGCAGCCGAGGTCAATTGAACACTCGTTGTCGTCGTCGTTTGATTTCAATTTGTTCGTTCAATGTTTGTTTCCGAGAACAAAGAGAGAACTTTTGAAATGAGGGAGACAGAGAGCAAATGTTATTATTTTGTTTATATTAATAATATAAACTTTATATTTTCTTTACAATTGGTGTTGGGCTGACCAGATTGTTTTTTTAAATATAAAGAAAAGTAATCATAAAATTTATGGTTATTTGAGATGAAGGAAAATGTCCTAAAAATTGGAGAAATTTTTGGACGTTTGAAGGCTGCAAACCCTGACACAAATCACAGCATAAATATGTCCAAAAGTCAACAGTTTGCTCTACATTTTTTGACAAATCATAAAACTTGGGAACACATTAACAGCCTGTTTTTGTAAAATTCTAAACGAACGTTTGCTCTAAAAATATGTCAATTTTTGACAAAAAATATTTGTTTACATAAAAAAGGTTTGGTCTTCGAATTCGAACACATTAAATGTCAGATAACAGAACATATTGTTTCCAAATCTCTTTCTGTTTTCAATAGCTTCTCATATACATTACCTGATTTTGATATAAAATTATCGCATATTAAATCAATTATTAAAAACCTGAAGTCCAAAAAATCTTGCGGTCTGGATGGTATTAAAACCCTTTATATTAAAAAATAGTCTGATGCAGTGTTAATTTATTTAAAAGATATTTTTTGCAGTTGTTTCAAACTTCAATATTTCCCCACAAACCTGCAAGCCACCTGATTTAGCCAGCAGCTATAGGCCAATTAGTCTAATAAGCAACCTAAGTAAAATTTTTGAAAAGATAATTAACAAAAAACTTTGGACTTTTGTTCGAGAAGTTAAAATTTTGCCTGATGAACAGTTCGGCTTTAGACCTGCACATATTACATCACAACAGGTTAAAAGAATTAAAAATTATGTAAACAAACAATTCCGTTTGAAATAGTCTACGTCAATGGTATTACTGGATGTCGAAAAATCCTTCGATACGATTTGGCAAATGGGTTTAATTTAAAAACTTCTTAAGATTGGATCTCCAAAATGGAAAATAAAAGTAAACGCCACAAAATTTCAAGCTATTTTTTACAAAGAAAACATTCTTTCATCCCACATTCCAATCTTAAAATGTTTGGGTATGATATATAGTGGCCCAAATCTGTGTAATAATAAATTCACGTCTAACTTTCAAAGACCATGTCTCACATATAAAACATAAAATGAATATAGCAATTAAATTACTTTACCTTTTTATCAATTTGAGGTCCGAATTCAGTATTTTGAAATTAGTTTTTCAAGCGATAGCACTTGCCCTGTATGGAGAAAATATGCTCAAACTCACATAAAAGATTTAAATACGTCAAAATAAAATATTGAAAATGATGTTAAATTTACTCACCTATTTTAGAAGAAAACAGCTACCTGAAATATTTTATACTGATTTGGTTCCACAGAGAATTGAAGTAGTTTCGAACAATATTGAAACAAAGTGTTCTTAAAATAAAAAATAAGTTTGTAAACACTCTTTTCGACAGGGAGATATTTTATTGGCCTGTTCCCGTACAGCAAGAATCTACGACTTTCTACTATTTTTTTCGATATCATAAAGGAAAAAAGTGTTATCGTAGTAAAAAATAGTAGATTCTTGCCGTACGGGAACAGACCACATATGTAATATATATAATTTTCATGTTCTCTTCTTAATAAGGTTTTTTCGAGTCTTGTGTCTATCAATGAAATTAAACTATTTTGAAATTTAAAAATATATCCAGAAGTAGATATAGTATCACTGGGCAGGTGCAGTGAGCATCAGAAAAACATTCTATACATTTTATGTCATCTTTCGAAAATTGAATCTTATAATCAAATGTCCCTTTAAGGTATCTCATTATGCGCTTCACAGCTTCCCAATGTGGATTCCCATGATCATGGTTGTATCTTGATAGTATCCCCACTGCATATGATAAATCGGGGCGACTGAATTGAGCAGCATACTATCAACTTCCGACAGTTTCCTCATAAGGCATGTCATTGTCCATTTCGAAGATTTCATATCCTTTACATCTGATGACGTAGGATCGGAGTAAAATATTGCATCTTTTCAATACACCTTTGATGTACATTGCCTGGTTCATAACTATAGTTTTATATCTTGCCTCACCAATATCGTTCATTTTGAAATTTCTTGATGAAAAATTTTTTGGATTCAGAATTATTTGTAATGTACGCATATTATATGTTCCGTGGCAAAAATTGCCAAATCATTTAAAATTAAAATTTTGTTGATGTTACTTGCCTCTAAAACTTATCATGGTACATCGACTGATCAATTGACTTTCTACTAATCTACTTTATGTATTGAAAAGTCGTTGTTGACTTTTGATCTTCAAGAAAATCGTAAAGTCGAATTTTCAGAATACAATTTTAGATATTCTTCCACAAATTACACATTCCAGAACGTTATCTTTTGACAACAATTAATATAAAAAAATCGAATATTTAGTAGATTTTGCACTAAAGTACGTTTAAATTTATGAAATCCACTCGATCTCAAATGTGAATTTCGTAGCGTATAGTCAACTATAATGCACTGGATTTTTGAACATGATTAAGGTCAAAAATCGAATAATGGGAGATGGAATATTGTCCATAAAGCTATGGCAGGGGTTGGTGTTTCGACGATAAGTCTCAAGCAGGTCTTGCATCGACAACATATGATTGCATCGATGGTCGTGTAAGATTTTGATATTCTCATGAGGATGATCCATTGTAGTGGCAAACCTGGATATTCTTCCACTGGTGCCGCATAGCTAACCACTGACTGTTCTTTTGCTTTATAAGAGTTCAAAATGGTTTGATTGTCAGAACCCCAAACGCTACCGGCCAGCGATTTGAGGACCTTCTTCCTACTTCACAGCTGATCGCCTAAAGCAATGTCTTGCGCAGATGACTTGAAAGACATATGGAAAGTTTCACCTAGTATTTTGGTGTAGTTTGTGGTCGTAATCAGTTCTCCATCGATGATTATGTTTAGCGGGAGCTTCATTTCAGCCATCCATGTGGTGAACAGTGTGGCTGTTGATTTGGTGGCGGATATTTTCATATTCGTATGATGGAAAAAATTTGCAAAATCTGCTATGTAGAAGTTTAAGCTCTCACATATGTCATCAATAATGGAACCCGATGTCATAATCATGCAATCATCCGTGTACTAGCGTACACACACATATCTGATTATCCAACGTTTCAAACAGGGCTGGAGATTTGTCTTGGCACTCTGCCTCAATGTTTTGGACATCTATTTTCTGAATTCCACACATATGACTGGCGTTCACACATATAGCTGATTATCAAACGTTTCAAACACGACCAGAGATTTGTCTTCTCTATGTCCTCGAACAGCTTAGCATGGTCGACGGTATCGAAGGCTTCCGATAGGTCAAATGCCTCCATAACTGATCAGTTGCACGGCCTGTTCTGTTTAAGTCCTCTGTTAAGGTGTGTGTTGAAATGGCGTGTAATGCAGTTGTGGTGCTGTGCATTTTACGGAATCCATGCTGATGTTGGGCAATTCCCATTCACCAATGGGAGGAATGGCGCTTCAATAGTCATCGCTACTGGCGACAATAGTGTAATCGGTCTTTACGAATCACCCCTGCTGGCATTAGTGTCGGGCTTCAGAAGCGGGACAAACTCTCTATTTTCCAGGCTTCAGAAACTATGTGGGTGGTTAAATACTCAACTCCGTGTTCTTCCAACTGCTTGAGCGGTAGATGATCTGTCCGGCCCAACGTTTTATATGACATCTACAACGTCCTCTTTCGTAGATTTTGTTGGTACACCCTTGTGTCTTCAGGGTTCGTACGACAGAGATAATCGCGTTCATTGGCCAATACTGTCGCATGAGGCGATCCCGTATGAAGCGAGCGGCAGCTGTTGTATTGATTCTAGGTATATTTATCTCAACTACCCGAGGATCTATGGGAATGGATAGCTCTCTGAAGCGGTGATTGGCTAACTCTTTGAAACCAGGTCAATCAGTTTTCCCACGGTCTAGGAAAGTACGGCGTTCAGAGATAATAAAGTAGGCTGGTATGTTGACGGAGACGATTATAGGAAGGTGGGCTGAGGCGAGTGCAATGACGGACTGCCAGAATACGTCATTTATCAGACCCGCTGCCACTATGGTGATGTCAGGCGAACTGTGGCAGTCTCCTCTTATCCTTGTGGGGGCATTCTTATTTTGATAAGGAAACCAACTTGACCGGAGAGAAGGAATTCCTTTAAGATCATGAGAATGTAGTACAATAAGATCAGACAAAGGGAATTCCTTAAAGGCTTGACGAAGTATGCGAGAGACTACCCTCACAAGGCGAAAGGGAACTTCCTGTCGATTGAATACCTATCTCCGTACAGTGGCTATCTCTTCGGAACCTCGACAAAGGCGACTATAAAGGATATCGAACTAAAGTCAAGAGTTGTATCAGCGGGGAACCCCAAATCAACTGTGTGGAGTATAAATTTAAAATATATATCCTGAATAAAGAAAAAGTTTTCGGAAACTCTACCAAAACGACGATAACGTTTATCCACTGTATAGTATGAGGGCATGAGGCAAACAGAGAAATGAACCCAGAGATTATATCAGCTAGGAACCTCAAATCAACTGCTTATAATATCATTTCAGAACATACATATATTCTGAAGAATATAAAATTTGTCGGAACCTGTACCAAGGCCACGATAAAACAAATCCCTTGTATAGAATCAGAGCATCCAGAAGAATATAAAAACTGGAGACCAAATAATTGGAAAGTCCGTTATCATGTCGACTAGGTTCTATCGAATGCAAAAAATATATATTTTGTATATAAAAGAATCATTGTTTTGTCTGCCTGGAGGATTATTGCTGAATGAAGAAGTAATCGAACAAGTGGAATTTACAACCCCTTATATCTTGAGTGGTTTGGAATTTGTAGAGACAAAGGGTTCCCTATTTTTATTAGAAGTTTTTTTTAATAAGTCTTTGGTATACTGAAGACTCCTTCTCTCCTCCTTTATCATCCAACGATTTAGCTTCAATTTAAGTTATCGGATTATTTATAAAATATTCAACATTAAACCAAAGTCCTTTAATAACAAAATTTGAGGGGTACTCAGACAAGATGGTCCGGCCGAATTAATATAATATAGTTTTGTATGCCCTCTAATTTTCAAAATTTAAAAAAATTTCTTATTCTTTGTTTTCGTTACAGTAACTAAACAAATATGAGACTAGTAATCTTGGAAACTTCTGACTCCGTGGGTCTTTGGGCTGCCAAATATGTTACCAAAAGGATAAATGATTTCAAACCGGGACCAGATAGGTAATAACTATATACAAGTAAAAAAACAAACAATTGAGGTCGATGATGTCACTTGAATTTGCATCCAAAAATATTTTCTTTATTTATCCTATTTTATTATTTTATTAAATTATTTTAATTTCCAGATATTTCGTTTTGGGCCTACCCACGGGCAGTACTCCCCTGAGTATGTACAAACATTTAATCGATTTCTATCAAAAAGGCCTAGTATCGTTTGAATATGTGAAAACTTTCAATATGGATGAATATGTGGGTAAGTAATTGAGTTCTCATTGAGTTTCGATATAAAATAATCAAAATCTCTCACTCTCTCTTTTATCCCCAGGTCTTGCCCGTGATCACCCGGAAAGTTATCATTACTATATGTTTGAGAATTTCTTTAAGCACATTAATATTGATCCGAAAAATGTCCATATATTGGATGGTAATGCACCCGATTTAGTAGCGGAATGTAATCAATTTGAGGAGAAAATCAAAGAAGCTGGTGGTGTAGAACTGTTTATTGGTGGCATTGGTCCCGATGGTCATATTGCATTTAATGAACCCGGTTCATCGTTGGTATCACGTACTCGGGTCAAAACATTGGCGCAAGATACACTGGAAGCGAATGCCAGATTTTTCGATAATGATATGAGTAAAGTCCCACGACAGGCTTTGACAGTGGGTGTCGGCACCGTTATGGATGCCAAAGAGGTGATGATTTTAATAACTGGCGCCCACAAAGCTTTCGCTTTGTACAAAGCCATCGAAGAGGGTGTCAATCATATGTGGACTGTCAGTGCTTTCCAACAACATCCCAACACACTGATGCTGTGCGATGAAGATGCCACATTGGAGTTGCGTGTTAAGACTGTTAAATATTTTAAGGTATGCTGTGCTACCGACTGAAATTTTATATCTTAAAAATTTTAATTTTATATTTTATGTATATAAATTGCCTTTGTATGTAGTTGTGGTATAAGGTGTTATATTTTATTACATAAGCTTTGGTATACGGTTAAATAATTTGCTGAATAGTTGTAAATTTTTTGTATATATTATAGTTTAAGTTATAAATTAACTTGGAGCGTAAATGCTGACTTTTGATTAGCTTATTTTTAATTGTAATGAATGATAAGTGAGTCTATTTTAAGTTTATATGAGACATATCTTGTAAGAATAGTGGTGTTGGTTTCAATTTCATTTAACAATGTGGTATCTCTTATAAAATTTTGAAAAAAGTTGTAAATTGTAACTCTTTGTAAAATCTCAGAGGGCCAGAGGGAGGTTTTTATAGAAGTTCAAAAGTGAATTCGTGCGAAAGAAATCACTTCAGAAAGGACTTGTTTTTAGACATCCAGAGTGGAAAATGTTGAGGATGATTTTTCTAGAAGTATAAAAAAGACTTTGTGTAAGGTCATTCGTTTTTTACATTTGTTTTGAAGGGTTAAAATAAAATGCCTAGCTTTTCTAAGAGTTCACAAGAAGGGTTTTTATTAGCTGACCTGAAGAGAAGACCTAAAGGGACTCATTATAGATTTTTAGATAGTCCCATTTTGGGATTGTTATAGAGGGACAGAAGATACTTTTCTTTAAAGAAGTAAGCATTTTATAAGAAGCCACATCAATCTGGCCGTCAATTGGAAGTTATTTCTGGTCCTTCAGATTGTAAATAAGAATTCTTTCCGATGAAAACTTATTGAGTAGTTTATGTCCTGAAGGGAATTCTGAAGGACCAGAATGGATATTTTACGAAGTAAAAAATAACGACAAGAACGCCCCCAGTAGAGACGACTGGAACCGTAGTAACCCATCTGTGCGCGGTATGGCTTTTTATACAGACTGATCTAAGATGAAGAAGATACAGGGGCTGGCGTCTACTGTGAAAGGCTAGGCCTTGATCTTACCTACAAGTGGGATATCAACTCCAAGCTAAAATCTTCAGGATTTGAAAGGCAGCAGAATTGATAAAAATTCTGGATGCAGAGATCGTTGTACCGTTGACTATTTCGGTGAATAGTCTAGTGGCTCTTAATGCATTCAAATCCTGTAATATTAAGTCTGAGGTTATCCTTGAGTGTAGAGAAGCTTTGGAAACACATAGTGACTTCATGTGTAATAAAAAACCAGACGAATTAGCTAGACGACGATTTCAATCTACAGATGTAGCAATCGCTGACATAACTAAACCACCCATCTGTCACCTTTTTCGGAATTATGAGGCGTTCTTTGATGAAAGAGCCAATGAATTGTGGCACAACGAACATAGGCGCAATGTGTCAAGATCTATCTGGCCGACTCTGTCAGCCAAATGATCAAACTCACTGTTGAACTTGAGCAAAGCTGAAATTGGAGTAATGACGGGACACTGCTATATCAGGGCCTTCATCATTAAATGGGACCATGATGTTATCACAACGGGTCGGAAGGTCTTCGAGTGTTGCAGTTACAGTTAGTGACTTCACATCCCCAAACCTAACCTAAGCTTCTTAGGGAACTTCTATACCGCTATTGATAGATTTAAATGTTTAATCTTGCCCTAATCCCAGTAAACCCCATGTAGATTATCAGATGCTGAAAGGCTTTCTTATAGAAAATTTACCAAATTTCGTGCAAATCGAAAGATATATAGGGACTTTGGTACACAATTTACATAAAATCGGACGAAAAAATATATAGCAGCTATATCTAAAACTGAACTGATTTCCACGAAACTTAGCACACACCATTCTAGACTTAATTTATTACGCTATGCCAATTTTGAAATATATATGGTAGCTATATCTAAATCTGAACCGATTTTAACGAAACTTGACACACATTGCCAAATTCGAGCATATAGAAAGTTATATAGGGACTTTGGTGTACCATTTACATTAAATCGGACGAAAATATATATGGTACCTATATCTGAATCTGAACCGATTTTTCCCAATTTCCTTGAGTTAAATGAATGAGCCGTGCCAAATTTCATCCAAATCGGACAATAAATGCGACCTGTATTTTGTTTACAATTTAACATGGACAGACAGACGGGCGGACATACATACGGAAGTGCATAAATTGAGTCAGAAAATAATTCTATGCATATTCTCCAAAGGAAAAATAGGTCAATCTCGATTCCTTTTGCCTGGTACAAACATATGCACAAAGAAATAATATCCTGTACCACCGTGTGGTGATGGGTATAATAAGGCGTTATAAGGTTGCGAATATTAATAATTTTTGGTGGGGCGAATTCTGTTGAATTTCTGTTGAAAAACGCGCTCAACAACCCAAAAATACCGAAAATTGAAAGGTACTCTTATATGGGGAATATCCGAAAAAATGGACCTATGTTTATAATTTGTTGTGGAGAGATTTTCTATCTAATAAAAACTAAAAATACTAAATTACAGCTAACTTAGTCGAAAAATACGCTCAAAACCAAAAAAATACTGAAAATTGGATGAACTGTTGTATGGGGGCTACCACAAAAGGTGGACCTATTTTTATAATTTTTAATGGGTAAATTTGGTACCCAATAATAACCAAATTTCAGCGAATTCAGTTGAAGCTCAAGAAACGCAAAAAAAAACGAAAATTGGTGGGTGCCCTTATATAAGAGCTATGCCTAAACGTGGACCCATATAGCCCATCTTCGAACTTGACCTGCCTGCAGACAATGCAAAATTTTCGCGATCTATCTCAACTCGTTTAGAGGCTAGACGGACATGGCTAAATCGTCATAAAATTTTACGCTGATCAAGTATATATATACTTTATAGTGTCGTAAATGATTATTTCGATGAGTTACAAACGGAAAAACGTTGGAGGGCATAAAAATATCAAACTAAACTTTCAGGGGTTTTTGCAAGATTTGCAGCTATGCCCAAGCAAAATTATAAGGTATTTATGTATATGATTATATATCCAACTTATAGAATATGTGTTATATCAATTTTAAAATTTATTTTGATTTGAACATTTTTTTTAATTGGTGAAGGATGGAAAATATTTAAATGAAACTAAAATAAATACTTTTTCAAATTAGATCACTCTATACTATTATTGCCGTTTGTAGACAGCTTTTTGGTTTCTAACCACAATATTTTTGTCCTTCTTCTTGGTAGTTGCTTTTAACCATAATATTGCTTCAAATAGTTACTTTTTTCAATTACTTCATTATATATTGTAGGTAATAAAAAATATATCGTCATCATAAATGCAAACGGACGTAACTACACTTTTACTAATATTACAGGAGAACCAAAAAACATTATAAAATCTATAAAAATGGAGCATGGATGGAAATTTTTTCAAAGTTTAAATGGACTATAGAGCCGTATTTACTTTAAAAAAAAAATATTTGTTTTCGTTTTTAAAGGCTTTATGTCAGTTACGTCCTTTTGACTTGATATTTTCTGAAACAAAAGGTCGTTACTACACCACATATATTTCTACACCACATATATCTTCGTCCGAGTTTGTGTAAATGGTGCATTAAAGCCCCGTATATTTCTTTCGTGATGCACGAAATTTTGCTTAGCGTACTAATTTGAGTCTAGAGTGAAGTGTGTGAAGTTTCGTGAAAATCGGTTCAGATTTCGATACAGCTCCCATATACAGATTCAACCGATTTTATGGAAATTTTGCACTAAACACATTAAATATTTCTCCGATAGCGATAGAACCTGGCCCAGGGCACTTTTCTGTGTACAAATTTAAAACGGTTATTGATCTACGTAGGTAATAACTTTAAAAAATTGTAAAAATTATATATAGAAAATATTTATAATTTTTTCTTCGATTATGTGTGAAAATACCTCAAGAATTATTCCTTAAAATTTTATCCAAATATCTCCATTATTAAAAATTTTATAGTATTTTTATTCAAAAAAAGACACAAATGTATACGGTTATTGACCGTAGGATTAATATAGGGTCTGTTCCCGTACTGTATATATATATATATATATATTTTACTACGATAACGAATTTTCCTTTATGATATCGAAGAATATAGTAAAATATAGTAGATTCTTTCAGAATTTCTATCTTCAATATTGCGAGTTTTAGTTTCTAACAGGAGTGTAGTTACGTCCATTTGAATTTATGATGACGATATGAACATAGAGTTTGCAGATTGTGTACAGCTTTTTTTGGTTTCTTTATAGTTGCTTCTATGAATAATAATAATGCTGGAAATAGATTTATTTTCTTGATTATTTTTTTATTATTTATTTATCATTTTATTTATTGAAATACAGGGCATTCAGAGAGATAACAGCATTGTTGATGAGGAAACCAACAACTGAAGAGAAGAATATTTAATAAGTATGTCTGTAACTATATATTTAAAATTATTATTATATATAACTCAGTTGATAGCATCAACAACATTGAATTTAAGTATATTTTTGACATATATACCATTTTTTTAAAAGACTGGTTACAAACATCAACCTTTTTGTTAGACATCAGGGACTCTTAGGATGTCTATTAAACACAGAAAACACTTTTATGTAATAGGGGAAATTTAATTTTTCTGCAGCTATAAAGAAATTCTATTATACATTTTTTTGTTATTAAATCTATTATTATATTGTAAACATTTTTGTGACGCTATTTAATGTCCGTTTTATTTGATATTGGAATATTTTTTTTTTTAATCATCAACTGAGTTTTAAGTAGATAATATATTTTTTAAGATTTTTTCTAAAATAAAATTAAAATTTTTTTTCTTTACAGTGCCTAATGGATGTCCATATGAAACTGATTGATGGAATGTAATATCTAGCCGATCATATAATTGGATTTCTTTTTTCTACTACCACTATTAACTGTTTTTATACGACAATATTATATAGATGTGTATATTTTTAAAAAATATATAATTGTTTAATTTTGTCAAAATTTGCTACTATTTTTATATAAAAAATAATAAATAAAATAAATAATAAATAGTTGTTTTTTATAAAAACAACAAACTGGGATTCAGCCTGACTATTTTGCAAAAACAAAATAAAAAATAAATCATTTAAAAAATCAAATTCTTTAAAAAATCAATTTGAACGAAAAAATGTTAAAAACAACTGAAAAAATTTTACTGAATTTTACGAAATTAGAAAATACCTAGGATGCTCAAAAAGTCTCACAAAATAATCTATACTAATAAAAAAGTAAAGGGACTGACTGACTGATTTAACGATTCATCAACGCCCAGATGAAGCGACGGAAGCTAGCTTGGTCCAAAGGTGACAGATAAGGCTGGGTTTTTGGAAATTCGTACTAGAACGGTACGAAAAGTACTAAATGTGCAACCATTTGTATTTGGCGAACCCGTAGAGCTAGAAGTATTATGTTTTAAATGAGATTCACTGATGGAGAACATTGAACATTCGAACTATAAATATGCGAAAAGTACTAAAATGTATTAAATTTGGTACAATTTCGTATCTTGTGAATGGATAGAGCTAAAAACTTCAAATTTGGAATGCGAATTAGGGTTGAGATGTATGGTCTATTTAAGGAGATGGTTTTGAAAGCGTGTACTCATGTGTACGAAAAGTACTATATGGTACTATTCGTACACATTTAATTTAGAGATAAAAATTGAGCTGGAATTTGAAATTAACATTACCATCAGAGTTTAGGATTGGGATATGTACGTAGTTTTGGAAAATTCTTACTTATGTGTACGAAAAGTACTAAATCTTACTATAATTGGTACAATTTGGATTTGAGTGAACCGATAGAGCGGAAACAATGAAATTTGGAGTGAAGGTCATTGTAGGGGTGTAGGATTAGGGTCAGAATTCAGTTTAACAAGTTAATACTTATGGGTATTAAATTTGGCACAGTATGAATTTTAGGTGAACCAATTGAGCTAGAATCATGAAATTTGGAGTCAGGATCACTGTTGAGGTGTAAGATTGAAATATGTTGAGGTGTAAGATTGAAATATGTAGGAAGTTTTTGAAATTGTACTAATGTGCACTAAATTTGGTACACTTTAAATTGTGGGTGAAGCGATAGAGTTTAAGGGGACCCCCCCCCATTCTCGGTGTCAAAAATTTTTTTGATTTAATTCGAATCTACTCTAATTCTAGAATGTCTCTACAAAATTTCAAGTGAAAATCTCAAGAACTCTTAAAGATATAGCCGATTTATTGTGTTAGCATCAAGTGACGGCTAAAGGGCTTCTCAAACTTTAAACGCGTTTTTCTCAAAACGAATGGCGGGCACGATAACTCAAAAACTAATAATCCAATCGGTTTCAAATTTTGACACGTTTCTCTGGGAGTGTGTAGCTCTCGTATGAACTAGGATAAAGCTAATCGGTGAAGATCTTCTTTATTTTTTAACTTAGTTTGTGGTAAAAAATAGGCGATTTTCCATAAAAATTTTTTCAAAGTTCCGCCATTTTGTTAATTGTTGTGCGAAGTCAATAATCCTAGTTCATACGAGAGCCAGACATGTCCTCTTTCTAAAACAGTTGGAATTTTCGGATTCCGATGTTCCAGTGAGGAGTTATCATGCCCGCCATCGAAAATATGGACTTTTCTTTGAACCCAAAAAACAACAACAAATTTTGGTAAATTATTTTTCTTCCTTTTTAAATCTTCAAATACATATGTGCCAAGTTACAAACCTTAACAAGCATTGGTATTCATTTACCAGCCCATTTAAAATCTTAAAAATAAAAAATCGAGAATGGGGGGGGGGGTTCCCTTAAATCATGAAATTTTGATAAGGGATCGCTGTGGAGGTACAGGATTGGGGTATGTAGGAAGTTTTGGAAATTGGTACTACTGTGTACTAAATTTGGTACAATTTGAATTGTGGGTGAACCGATAGCGTTGGAATCCTGAAACTTCGATTTAGGATCACTGTGGGGGTGTTGGTTTTGGGTTCAGTTGGCGGTTTTCGAAATTCGTACTACTGTGTACTAAATTTGGTACAATTTGAATTGTGGGTCAACCCATAGAATTAGAGTCCTGAAACTTGGGTTCAGGATTGGGGTATATAGGATGTTTTGGAATTGACACTGCCGTGTACAAAATTTGGTATAATTTGAATTGACACCATAGTTGTGTGTAGGATATAATTACGAAAATGGGGTGGAACTTTTATATGTAAAATCATCGAGCTATTTGACCAACCTCTTTGGTGGAAATATGCAGCTAAATACTGGCAATAAGGCGGGCCCTTGAAAACACCAATAATGGGACGGAACCTTCACATGGGACATACTCGTATGTCAAAACATGGACCAAAATCGTAAATTTTATGAAAAAATGCAAGAATTCGGATTATAAAATTACTTCTACTTTAGTCAGGAAATGTGGTTACAACGTTCAAAATACCAAAAAATGGGACTGTAAAAACTAGGACCTATTGGAAAATTTTCTACAAATATATTTTTAGGGCTTCAAGAACCCGTAATGTTGGGAAATGCGGCTGAGACCTATGCTATGTCAAATATCACATTGTGCGATGTTTGAGTCATATGAGAGGCTCAAATAGCTTCGTATTAGATTTATACATTTTCAAAAATGTTCACCCTTTCTGGGGGAGGTATTTCAAGGTGTGGACCTACAAACCCCATTTAAGTTTTGGAATTGACACTGTCGTGTACAAAATTTTGTATAATTTGAATTGTGGGTGGACCGATAGACTTAGAATCCTGAAACTTATATTTAGGATCACTGTTGTGGTGTAGGTTTGGGGTAAGTAAGAGGTTTTGGAAATTCATACTACTGTGTACTCAATTTGGTACAATTTGAATTGTGGGTGAACCTATGAAGTTGGAATCCTTAAACTTAGATTTAGAATCACTGTCGGGGTGTAGGTTTGGGTTAAGTTGGCGGTTTTGGAAATTCGTATTACTGTGTACTACAATTTGTAATTGGAATCATTGTGAGGGTGTAGGATCGGGTTATGCAGGAAGTTTTGTTAAATGGCTGAGGAGGGCACTTATGGAAATAATGTGTGCTAAATGGAAAATTTGGTAAAATTTGGATTTGGGTGAACCTTTAGAGCTCGAATCATGAAGTTTGGTACTAAATGGTACTCAAATTTAATTTATGGTCGATATTAATGTGTGGATTGTTTGTTTTCTGTGAAAATAAAATAATATGTTAATACATGTTTAAATATTTCCTACATTCGCTAACGAAGTTGCGGGCATATGCTTGTAATAAATAATAACACAGTGACTAATACGGCGACTTAACACAACTAAAACAGTAGTAGGCCCTCGAAAAATATTCTTTAAAAAATCTACGCCTTGTTAGGCATTCGAAAAATATTCTTTAAAAAATCTACGCCTTGTTAGGCATTCGAAAAATATTCTTTAAAAAATCTACGCCTTGTTAGGCATTCGAAAAATATTCTTTAAAAAATCTACGCCTTGTTAGGCATTCGAAAAATATTCTTTAAAAAATCTACGCCTTGTTAGGCATTCGAAAAATATTCTTTAAAAAATCTACGCCTTGTTAGGCATTCGAAAAATATTCTTTAAAAAATCTACGCCTTGTTAGGCATTCGAAAAATATTCTTTAAAAAATCTACGCCTTGTTAGGCATTCGAAAAATATTCTTTAAAAAATCTACGCCTTGTTAGGCATTCGAAAAATATTCTTTAAAAAATCTACGCCTTGTTAGGCATTCGAAAAATATTCTTTAAAAAATCTACGCCTTGTTAGGCATTCGAAAAATATTCTTTAAAAAATCTACGCCTTGTTAGGCATTCGAAAAATATTCTTTAAAAAATCTACGCCTTGTTAGGCATTCGAAAAATATTCTTTAAAAAATCTACGCCTTGTTAGGCATTCGAAAAATATTCTTTAAAAAATCTACGCCTTGCTAGAGCCTCCCAAAAATATTCTTTAAAAAATCTACGCCTTGTTAGGCCTTCGAAAAATATTCTTTAAAAATCTAGGCCTTGTTAGGCATTCGAAAAATATTCTTTAAAAAATCTACGCCTTGTTAGGCATTCGAAAAATATTCTTTAAAAAATCTACGCCTTGTTAGGCATTCGAAAAATATTATTTAAAAAATCTACGACTTGTTAGGCATTCAAAAATTATTCTTTAAAAAATCTACGCCTTGTTAGGCATTCGAAAATTATTCTTTAAAAAATCTACGCCTTGTTAGGCATTCGAAAAATATTCTTTAAAAAATCTACGCCTTGTTAGGCCCTTGAAAAAAAATACTTGTTTTTCCGATTTTACAATGCAGTATCATCTTAATTTTTTTATTTAATAAAAAATATATATTTACAAATTTTTTATTTTGTTTTTATATACAAATTTATTTTTCAATTATATTTCTACATATTTATATTTAAATCCACACTTCCATTCGATTTTTATTATTCTTTAAAAAAATATGGAATTGGATTTTTTTCTTTAAAAGATTTCAGGTTAGAAAATGTCGATTTTTTATATAGACAAACTATATATAAAGGACATTTGTTTTTTGAGTTTTAAACTATACAATTAAATTGTTACTTCTTATTATTATATACACACCCTTTATATTTATAATATAAAGTAAGCCAAAAAAATTCGCCTCATATAAATATCGGCCGCTCATCCTGTGTTGCTGGTGGTATTGAACCATTTACCATTAAGCCCATTAGGGCTTTCATATATAAAATCGAACGTATTGAGGCTTCGAGTACCTTTTCATTGGCCTCAAGACGTTCACGATATTGTTGTTCGACCAACATTTCTTCCAGCTTCTTGGCTCTTCGGGTCAGACGACATGCTTCGGTGTTACGTTCCCGTTTAATTTGCTCCTCCATGGAACGTTCTCTCTGTGGATGTTGTCGAGCCATGTTGCCATGATAGCGACACACTTTATTGATGACCTGTTGTGAGACCTGGAATACACCTTCTTTGGTTGCCAAGTGAAGTGAAGCGGAATCTCCACTCTCCAGCTGATCATGTTTACGTTTCAATTTCTGGCTACGTTCGGCATAGATCTTCTGGCGGGCTTCATCCAAATATGAGCGTGGTATTTTCTTGATACCCACATTGTGACGTATCGATTTGTAATAGAAAAATTCACTGGCCATTCCGATATTACAGCTGGGTTTGCGGCATTTCCTTTGACGTGGTTTACTCTCGCGGAATAAACGTCTCTTTACCTTTTCCACAGATGCCTGATAGTGGGTTAGCTTTTGTGGCATCAATAGGGCATTCACGGTATTCCATATAACACAACGATTAAATTCTACCGGTATGGTGGTCATCATGGAGACATCACTACCATGCAGGATATAGATTTGACGTATACACTCATTGAGAAAGGAACGTTTACCGGGACTTTTATAATTCACCTCCTGGCGGCAATATTCACTGTAATAACCATGCGGATCACAGACATTTATCGATTCTTTATCTACAACAACAATTTCGTTATTTTCAATCATATCTACGATTATGAAATAAATTTCGTACGCGCGGTTGTTTGAAAAAAAAACTTCGAGATGTTTCCTTTAGGAAAACTAACCTAAAAATAATACTCTCACTAAAATTGGCATGACCTTTTATACCCGAAACCTTTTGCGGATGGAGGATTAAGCAGGACAGGTAGTTGTGTGTATGTCCCCTGACAATAATATGTCAAAACTAATCCTCCATTAGTAAAAACTAATCCTCCATTGGCGGGAAATCCCTAGAGGTTCGTAAAATTTATTAGCGCGTTTATCGCAGGTAAGATTTTCCGACAAATTTGGCTATTTGAAATTCGCCAGAAAAGGTGTTCGTCGAAAATGTCATATAATCTCGCTTTATCATCTGATTAGAAATTTGCAAATCGTCGTAACAGATGTTTTCCGGGATAACAATACGTTTTAAAAATTATGGTCATCCTTCAAGGAATGAGTAGACTTAGACATATTTTTCGGAATGTTGTAATAATACTTATTTTTATAGTAATGTTAGTAAAATACCGTAATCTCAAAATCCCTCTGAGAGTGAATAGATATATACACAAATAGTGCGCAAATGTCGGAATGTTAAATTATAGTCACTACGAATTCGAAATTCATCTATAATGGAAAAAATCCAAACCTAGATTGAAAATTTTCTAGGAAGACTTTTTATGCACCCATATTACAGACACCTCAGTTTGAAATCCGAATATAGTAAAAAACTAGTGAGCGGAGTAGTTTAGTCGGACGGGATGAACCATATGATAACCTACACAACTACCACGAAAATCTAATTTTCTGCGGGTTTGGAAAAAATCCGAACCTACATTGAAAATTTTCTGGGAAGACTTTTTATGCACCCATATTACAGACACCTCAGTTTGAAATCCGAATATAGTAAAAAACTAGTGAGCGGAGTAGTTTAGTCGGACGGGATGAACCATATGATAACCTACACAACTACCACGAAAATCTAATTTTCTGCGGGTTTGGAAAAAATCCGAACCTACATTGAAAATTTTCTGGGAAGACTTTTTATGCACCCATATTACAGACACCTCAGTTTGAAATCCGAATATAGTAAAAAACCAGTGAGCGGAGCAGTTTAGTTGGACGGGATGGACCATATGAAAATCTAATTTTCTGCGGGTTTGAACCTTGGCCAAAATTTTGCATAGAGTCGTCTTTTGTCTGCAGGCAGGTCAAGATCGAAGATGGACTATATCGGTCAACGTTTATGCATAGCGCCCATATAAGTGTACCGCCCAATTTTCGATATTTTGGGGTTCTTGGGCGCGCTTTTTAATCGAATACGCGGAAATTTGGTTCATTGAGTTCTTTTTGGGTACCAAATATCTCCACTAAAAATTATAATTATAGGTGCATTATAAATAACGGTCAACTTTTTCTGGTAGCCCCCATATAACGGTACCCCCAATTTACGGATTAGGGGGGTTAAAGAGCGGTTTTAAACCGAATTCCCTGAAATTTGGTGCATTGGGTTCTTATTGGGTACCAAATTTCCCCACTATAAATTATAAATATAGGTTAATTTTTTCGGGTAGCCCCCATATAAGGGCACCCCCAATTTTCTGTATTTGGGGTTCTTGAGTGCATTTTCAACCGAATTCGCTGCATGTTGGTACATAGCGTTCTTTTTGGGTACCAATTGGCTCCACTACAAATTATAAATATCGGTCCACTTTTTCTGGTAGCCTCCATATAATGGTAATCCCAAATTTACCGTATTTTGGGGTTCTAAAGCGCGTTTTTCAACCGAATTCGCTGAAATTGGGTTCTTATTGGGTAGCAAATCTCTCCACTAAAAATTATAAATACTGGTCTCCCAACCAAAAATTATTAATATTCGCTACGATATATCGGCCAGTATTTAGGCATCTCCGCCATATAATTATACCTTCTGAAGGAAAGAATTGAGACACAAAACAAAAATATTGGGTTCGAAAGATCTTCACATGGAGGCAATGTAAAAACATTACCCTAATGAACCCAGAGTGCTATTTTACAGCCATTTCTGTTAGAAAATACGGCAGAGACCGAAAAATTATATTTACAATGGGGGAGGACCCTTATATGGGAGCTAGGTAACAACAGTGAGCTTTCACATGAGACATACTCGTATGTCAAAACATGGACCAAAATCTTTAATTTTGTGCAGAAATTCATTTCAGCCTCCAAGAATCCAGAGTATAAAATTACTCCCATTTTAGTGAGGAAATGTGGTTACAACATTTAAGATACCAAGAAATGGGACTGTAAAAACTAGGGCCTATTGGAAATTTTTCTACAAATGTTTGGAAATGCGGAATGTTTGGAAATGCGGCTGAGACCTATGCTATGTCAAATATCACATTGTGCGATGTTTGATTCATATAAGATGCCCAAGAAACTTTATATGAGATTTATACATTTTCAAAAATGCTCACCCTTTATGGAGGGAGGTATTACAAGGAGTGGCTCTACAAACCCCATTTACGGGATCAAAAAAAGTTTGCCGAATCTATTACGATGTGTAGAGTTATTACCAAATCGGATACTCCGTTCGCATTATAAAATATTTACAAATTTTAAAAATATGGACCCTTTGTGCGCGTACTACTTCTCCCCTAAGTAGTAACCGATCATTACCCAAAACAATAAGTGTCGTCATTGATCCATAACTGTAATCTGTATTTTTATACCCTTCACCACACTGTGGTTCAGGGTATTATGTCTTTGTGCATATGTTTGTAACAGGCAAAAGGAAACGAGATAGACTCATGATTCCTTTTAAGAATATGCATAGAATCACTTTCTATGTCGATTTATGCATGTCCGTCCGTATGTCCATGTTAAATTGTAAGCAAAGTACAGGTCGCATTTATAATCCGATTTGGATGAAATTTGGCATAGGTCACTTATTTGGCCCAAGGACGAACCCTATTGAAATTGAGAAGAATCGGTTCAGATATAGATAGAGCTCTCATATATATTTTCGTCCGATTTAATGTAAATGGTGTACCAAAGTCTCTATATATCTTTCGATTTGCTCGAAATTTGGCACATCGTACTAAATTGGGACTAGAATGATGTGTACTAAGTTTCGTGAAAATCTGTACAGGTATGGATACAGCTCCCATATATAGTTTCGTCAGATTTTATGTAAATGGTGAACCAATGTCCCTATATATCTTTCAAATTGCACGAAATCTGGCATAGTGTACTGAATTAGGTCTAAATGACGTGCCTAAAGTTTCGAGAAAATCGGGTAAGATTTAGATATAGCTCCTATATATGTTTTCGACCGATTTAATGTAAATGGTGCACCAAAGTCCCTATATATCTTTCGATTTGCACGAAATTTGGCACAGAGTAATGAATTAGGGACACAATGATGTGTGCTAAATTTCGTGAAAATCGGTTCAGACGTAGATATAGCTCCCATATATATTTTCGTCCGATTTAATGTAAATGGTGCACCAAAGTCCCTATATATTTTTCGATTTGCACGAAATTTGGCACAGCGTACTAAATTGTGTATAGAATGATGTGTGTAAAATGTCTTGAAAATCGGTTCAGATTTAGATAAAGCTCCCATATATATTTTCGCCCGATTTGAAGTGGTGAAGGATATCATATACTCGGCCTCGACAGACTTTTATTACTTTTCTTACTGGTTTTACAAATTGTAATGTGCAAACGGATGGGCTGACACACATGTCTATATGAACTCAGCCTATGGGCGGTATACCAAAATGTGAGTCTAGGGCCAAACTCTTGGAGCCACACATCCTTACAACATAGTTATGAATGACATAAGAATTACTTTTAAGTACAATTAATAGCCTTGGAAGGCCCTTAAAAATAATATTCTTAAAAATTCAGCTATAGGAAAGCCCATGAAAAACTAGTCTTAAAAATTCAGGTTTTGTAAGGTTCTAAAGAAACTATCTGAAAAAAAATCACGTCTTCGAAGGTCCTCCAAAATCTCGTCATTAAAAAAGGTCATTGTAAATTAATCTTTAAAAAAATCACAAAATCGTCAGTGCTTAAAAACAATGTCTGGGAAGGACCCCGAAAAACTGGTTTTTAAAAATCGTCACCCAAGAAAAGTATTGAAAAAAGTCTTCATAACATCAACGTCTTGGAAATTCCTTGAAAATGGATTTCTTAAACAAATCCATGTTTAGAAGTCATGCTTTGTAAGGTCCTCGATAAACTAATCTACATCTTAGATTGTCCTTTAAAAAATTCACCTCTTGAAGGGACATTTATAAACTAGTCTATAAAAAATACAATCCTTGAAGAACTAGTCCTTAGAAAATGATAGCATTGGAAGGTCTTGAAAATCTTACTTACTTTGCTGGCTTGTGACAGAACTTTCGTTCCGTAAGCTGAGCTTAAAAAAAATTACCAGATGCGTCGGTCTTTTGCGTATTTTTTCCAATTTAAAAGGCCATATTCGGCAATGTTGTCTTCCACTTTAACTTTCCATCTTATTCGTGGCCTTCCCCTTCTGCGTGAACCATCAGCTGGGTCGATTTTATGTGTCTTTAAAAATACACGACTTCGAAGGTCCTTACAGAACTAGTTTGAAAAAAATCAAGACCTGTAGGTTTCTTGAAAAACTAATCCATAAAAATGCATATCTTCGAACGTCCTTTAAAAATAGTCTTTTTAAAAAAATTACGACTCTTTAAAAAAAGTTACTTTAAGAAATCCACCCAATATAAGGTCCTTAAAAACTAGATCTTAAAAAATTCTTAGATCCTTAAAAACTAAAAATATGAGACTATAATTAATATATTTTTAAATACACGCTTGAAGTATATTCTTTATTCTGAAAACAAGCCTTTTAATATTATTTATCCCACTTATGGCCAAGATGCACTTTGAATATTCAAGCTCGAGGTTTGGATTTAGCACGGACAATTTTTTCTTTATAAAATATAAGTTTTTGAAAAAAATTATTTTTTGAAATAACACTTTCGAACAAT